GACTGGATCTGGTTCATATAACCGATCAAGATCGTGCAACTAAACCCAATTCATGAAGCTTCCTCTCGCACACTCGCAAATGCAAGGTCCAAGCGAGTGAACCTAGGTTAACCCATTGACGAGGAACATGTGACTCAACCCAGTTCACGACATTAGAAGAGTAACATCATTCCCTTCATCGTATTTGGCACTGCGACTAATCTTTAAATTCACTTTTCTCTACTTCATGAACCTGCTGTTCTATCGAATCAAGTGCACGAAACAAAACTTATACACTAATCTGCGAAGGTCAGTGCGAATGAATCTGGTTTATATAATTGATCATGATCGTGCAACTAAACCCAGTTCACACTGCTTCCTCTCGCACACTGGCACACGCAAGGTCCAAGCGAGTGAACCTGGGTTAACCCACTGATGAGGAATATGCGACTCAACCCAGTTCATGACATTAGAAGAGCAACACCGTTCCCTTCACTGTCTTTGGCACTGCGGCTAATCTTTAAGTTTACTTCTCTCTACTTCAGTAGAAACGGTCTCCCGGATAAACATTTATGATAGGGTCCTTGACCCATAACAACAAGACGAGGAACAATTTAAAGAGAATTACTATAACCAATTCCAACAACGGTACCAATGAATGATATTTCTAAATGGGATAACCACAACAACATACAAATTGCGGGCTGCGCACCTGCACCCTCAGGGAAAGTCAATACAAAAGTCTCATGCACAGAAACAGACCTACGCGACATTTTGGTCCTATCAGAATAACAACCCCAATAAACTTATGTTTTCAATAACAGTTCGACAAAGAAAGTCGACGTAGCGTTTTTTTTGCCAACCTAATAAACAAATGTAGGACCCTACTAGAACTGCAGCCTTAGGGTTGCGAACACAGCCTTAGGTGTATGACCCACGACAACATATTAACTTTTTTTTTTTTTTTATCTTTTTTTAAATGGTTTCTTTCCGCTGCATTAGCGTGGTATGGTCATTTTGCAAAGCAAAAAGGAAAGGACTATTTTCTCCTCTGTCTTTGCAACCATTGACATAGCATCAACGATCTCAGTTCAATGTTTTTTATTTCTTGTTTTGAATGGTCAGTATTGCTGCTCTCTTGCACAACTAAGCGATTGGGTTATAATTTCGTCGAGAAGTGGCGAATTCATTCGACAACGACCAGGTTCCAATTTCGTCAAGAAGTGGAGAACGATGCATGCCCCCCATTAGGGCATATCGCAAAAGACCCTTCGCAATAAGACCGAATGTCCACAAAGGTGTTCTAGAAAGTTGCGCTTCCTGCAATTTAATTAAAAATAATGTTTACAACGCGCCCTTCAAAGTGGTTTTTTACGTCTCACCCCTTTAACCACCGACTTACCCTGCGATTTTTTGTGCTTTTGAGTTTTTTATTTTGTTTTTTTTTGTCCGTTTTTTTTTTTATTTAATGTTTGTATTATGAGTTTGCGTTGTTTGCTTCCAAAAATTTCCACCACGTTGCTTGTGGCGATGTGTTGAAAAATACAGAATTTTCGACCTTCCATTAACCATCTCTCCAAATGTGTAAGATAAGAATGAGTCTTCCGCCAGCTTAAACTTTAATAGGCTTTGTTTGTCAAAAAGAGAGTTAGAACGCGAAAAGCTACACTGCCATTCCTGCTTGTTATCTCTCTCGCCCCTCTCGTTTATTGGGTTTCGCTCGACTGCTCATAAAATAAGCAAAATGAGCATGAATTTTCCGTCAAAGAGAATTTACACGACCATATTTCCTCTTACCCTCCTGCTCATCTTCCGCCTCCTCATTGCGTTCCTCCTTTAGTCACTCCGATGATGATCTGTGGCTGCCATATTTCCTTCTCCTCCCGCTTGTCTTCTGCCTCATCACGCCCCTCATTGCGCCCCTCCTCTTGACACACCGACCTTGTATGATATGAAGCGTCATCAAAGTTGAAGGACGAGGAGCGCGATGAGGAGGGGAAAAACGAGCAACAGGAAGAGGAAATATGAACGTGTATCTTCCCAAATCCTAGCGGAAGATATATACTCATTTTGCACATTTGGTGATTAGTTGAGTGAATCTCAGTGAACGGGAGGAGCAAGGAGGGGCGGGATGATGAGCAGGAGTGGCAATGTATCTTCTCATGTTCTAGCGGAAGCTTTATTATCATTTTGCACATTTGGTTAGTAGTTCACAACCTGCCAGGCTTACGTTTTATACTCCTGAGTCAATTTTCAAACATCGTCCGAGTCTGGTCACACCGGCCGTCTATTTGGGTCCAAATGGTAGTTGGAAGGGGTGGTGAATTTGCTGGGGGGGGGGGCAATGGGGAACATACAGTTGTTGCTTGCAGAGGACTGGTAGCTCCCTATAGGAGGCCATGGAGGTCGCGGTCCTAGAGTTGAATATTTCGAAATCGAAATGACGTGGGTCCAATTTTCTTGAATAGAAAGACACTTTGAATAGACCACGTATGTGTTGTATTAGAATACAAAGCGTGCGTTTTCTATTCGAATTTTGAGAAGAAAAAACTCTTGTTTTATAATAGAAGTTAGAACATTACCTTTCTTTTTTTTGTTTGAGGTTAGCACCTGCCCTTATGTGCGCCGCCTCTGACATGTTGCATGCTGTAGGGCTCTCTCTCTGTCTCTCACACACACACACACACACACACACTCACTTACTCTCACATACCACGCACACACACACACACACACACACACACACACACACACACACACACACACACACACACCTTCCCCCCCAAAAAAAATGTTCCACTTCAGCCAACTAGAGGAGAGGATATGTGCATACGACAGAATGCTCCTATCTATTGGTGGGGAGGGGCACCTGCTTGAAACCGGGTCCAGCGTCCCATGAACATCGTGAATAAAGCACCTGCTCGGACCCTCCACACACACACTTTTGGAGTTGTGTACAACGAACATGAAAAAACATAAATACAACATAATTACTACCTTACCCTTCCCCAACTACATCAACAAACAAACTACGGGCTGCGCACCCGTCCCCTCACAGTAAGTCAATGGAGCGAAGTCCAATGAAAGGGAGGAGCGGCAGGAGGAGCGGGAGAAGGAGGGGCGGGATGGCGAGCGAGAGGAGGGGAAGGAGGAAGAGTGGGGATGATGAACAACATGGGGCCATTGACAAATTTATGTTATGCCTCAGTAGCTCCCTTCCCAGGCTCAGGGGAATTGCCGTGAGTGCCTCCAACGTCTACAGGGGCATGCTGAAAAGATGCATGGTACCAGTACCATTAGGATCATGTCCAGCGTTTTTGTGCTGGTACTCAACGACTATCCAATTGGGGCATACCGAAAAGTTGGAGCCCATACGGGTAGGGGCGTAACGAATAAATTTCAGGCCCAACTGACGCCAGGGGTTTACTGCAAACTTGAATTATTGTCAGAGGGGCGCGGCAGGATAAGTCGGCCGTCAGAGGGGCGCGAGGCAAACAAATTCAACTTTGAGGGGTGCGACACAAGTTTTCCCTTTCGTGTTTGGTACCCCCCCTCAGAAGGCCCCCCTCCACCCTTCCTCTGATCAATTACCCCGGCGCATCCCCACCCCCTCTGTCCTACCTTAGTGTAGACCACCCAGGATCATCACCCATCACCAACTCAGCTAGGTGACCTGACCAGACAGCGGTTGCCGGCACCCAGGCTGAGCAGGGGGACCCCTACTTCCCCACTGAGCCCTGGTTGAAGAGGACGGTTGAGCAGGGGGACCCCTACTTCCCCACTCAGCCCCGGTTGAAGAGGACGCCGTGCAAGCCCTGTTGCACGTGTTCTTTGGGAGCTAGGTGTGAACGCGCTACTACAGGCCAGACTCCCCTTTGTCCCACAAGTTTTCCCTTTATTTTTTTCCCCCCCATATTCTTCTCTCAACTCTTTCATCAGCCTTTCAAATTCTTCCAATTCACCTTCACTACCTACCTACCTACCTACCCCTACTCGTAAGGCTTATACAGGGGACCCCTGCGAACATAGCTTTGTTGTCTCCCTCCAGCCGTCAAAGGGGATGCAAGTGAAATTATGTTTGTGTATAAATAAAAAAAAGAAGAAATTATGTTTGCGTAATAATGTGTAATGACCAAGTCCAGATCGGATCTGGGGCCTGAAGCAAGGTCCCACCTGAATATGTCCGGGTTCTTTGCGGAGATGGGGAAAGGCAGATGAAACGCCATTTTCTGCATCTCTCCTCAAACACGTCCAGATCCAGGGGTCGAATCCAATCGTTGTCTTTGCTGGTGGGACCTCAACCCTGATCCATTAAATATTGGACGCGTGGCTCATTATGTGATTATCTAATATTATCTAATTAGCGAATCAAAGAGGGAGCGGGGATATAATCTCCGAATCTGGATGTGTTCAAGGATAGGTGCAGAAATAGTCGATTGATCTGTTTTTCTTGCATCTCTGCAAAACAGATCCAGATGCAGATCCAACCCTCTAGTGCGACTGCGCGCCGTGATTTTCATGCATATGATCGGCGCCCACTTGTAAGATTAAGATCGAAGGCCAGGACAGGAAAGACGAATCGGGGTAAAATCCGACCCTCGCCCCGAAGCTGGCAGGCTCGGTTACGATCGGAAAGATGAGGGCAGGAAGAGCGAAACAAATCGCGCGGCAGCCCGCAGAGCCGTCACGAGTGAAGTCAGTGAAACGAGGTAACCGGGGAGATACACGCACCTAGAGTACTCTCTCGGCTACCGGTAGGGGGGAGAGAGAGAGAGAGAGTAGTGTCCTGGCTCAGAGAGAGAGAGAGAGAGAGTAGTGTCCTGGCTCAGAGAGAGAGAGAGAGTAGTGTCCTGGCTCAGAGAGAGAGAGAGAGAGAGTAGTGTCCTGGCTCAGAGAGAGAGAGAGAGAGAGAGAGAGAGAGAGAGCAGGGTCGCGCGGTGAAATCAGACAGAAGGGATGGCATGTGCGCGCGCGCAATAGAGGCACATCGTAAGCGACCAAGTGAACGTGAACTCGCACGCGCACGCGCACGCGCACGCGCGAGCGCGTTGCTGAACACAACTCCTCAGAAAAGCCGTGACTCTGTGTGTGTGTGTGTGCGTGTGTGTGTGTGTGTGCACGCGCGAGCGCGTTGCTGAACACAAGTCCTCAGAAAAGCCGTGACTCTGTGTGTGTGTGTGTGTGTGTGTGTGTGAGAGAGAGAGAGAGAGAGAGAGAGAGAGAGAGAGAGAGATGGGTATATCGGTGGAATGCGTGTTGGATGAGCGGCGAGTGCCGTCGCAGCTGTATTGTCCGATCTGTACGGACCTTATCCTTCCGAAAGATGGTTTGCTCAGTCCATGCGGTCATATGTTCTGTTCCATGTGCATCACCCAGTCGCTACAGATGAATAGGCAATGTCCCGAGGACAGACAACCATTACTCGACTCCGGTCTAAGGGTATGTCTGTCTCACGCTTCTTGGATCCCCCTTTTATCGTAGCTTCCATCCATTTCCTCCCCTTCCTTTCGCGGTTTCTCTCTCTCTCTCTCCTGTCTCTTATACACATCTAGATGTGTATAAGAGACAGTGCGC